ATGGAGCAACATATGTTTTTCAAGGATTCATCCAGGGTAAAGATTATGGACAATTTGGACTTCAAAGATTAGGTATTCAGCAAATTCTAAGTTTGTGCCAGTTCATTGTTCCATATTCTGTTTTATTATTTCCAGTAGTATAAGGGCATCTGCAGGATGTTACCAGTATTAACATTTTGTAGAATATTGAGATATTCATATCTTTAAAATCTCATTTAAGTAGTACTTACAAAGAGTGCTTTTTCAGAAGTTATAGGGAGTAAAGATGCCTTGCAATCTACTGCTTTAGTATAACTATACATTTGTTGTATATTAGGCAATATTTTTCTATGAATGTGTGTAAAATGCATTTAGTTTCACATCTTAATAACTATTTAGAAAGTTATAGAATGTGCTCCTAAATTGATCTCTTGCTCATGGTGCTGAAAAAACATGTCACCTAAACATTTGCTAGAAAGGTGAAACTGCTAAATATTTGCAAGTAAACCTTTATGTTATGCTTAAGAAGAACAAAATCTTACTTACTTGGTAAACATTTATTTCCTATTGACTTTTTGGTTCTATACATTCAGTCCTACACCAAACTACTAGTCTTTATTTATCCTTTCTTGGAGAAGACAGCTCTGGTAACAGAGCTCTGGTAACAACATTCTGTTGTGCTTTTTAAGAAAAAGAATTTAATTTACTTTTCTGATACTGTCTTAAGAACTGTGATATTTCTCTTTCAACAAGAATTTGCATTTAGTTAATACTGAATTCTTGAATGATAAAATATTATTGAGAATGTCGTAGAAGAAACATTATTTTTCAGTAACATAATGGCTCCTTAGATAGAGTGGTTATCTTCAGATAAAATTCCTATATGTGGAGGAAAAATTAGTTTATTTAGTTGCAAAGTATTGTGCACCCTTATTTTTTTTCAGTGAAACCAGGAAATTCGTTAATTCTTGAATGTGCTGGGAGGATTTATTAATGAATGTATGAGATAAAGGCAAATTTTTCTTTTTTCACAATTCTAAGTCACAGTAAATGCACTGCTTCTGAACTTGCTTTTCACTGTATTTGCATATGCAAATTCTTTAAAACAATTTTTAAAAATATCTTCATCAAGAAACATTTCCTTTAAATTAATATAAAAAGAGATATTTCCCTTTATTAACTTCTTCAAAATACTTGAAAGTCATCTAACAGAAATTAAAATACAAGACTTCCTTGGCAAATTGTTTTGATAGATTCTTATGAAAATTGTATTTCTTAATTTGATTTTCAGAGGAATTTTTTGTGGTTTTTTTCTTTTTTCTTTTTTTTTCTTTTCTTTGTAGTTGTGAGATTCTTTAATATATTGAAGGTACTTTTTATTGATTTATATCTTCTAGGAACAGAATAGTTCACTACAGTATAAATTCTAGGCAAGAATTAATTGTAGTATTAATACAGTTACAGAGAGATTTACAATCCTTGAACAAATTTTGTTTAGCATGTTTACCACTTCATTATTTCACACATACAAACACAAAAATGGTTTCTCTCAAACAAAATATTTTCATTGTTGTTCCCACACAATTTTCCTCAGAGTATTTATTTTTTTGTATTTTTGTGTATTGATGATCTGTTTGTTTCTTTTTCTTTGACAATTTGAGTGTTTCTTTAAATTTCTATATATTGCCTTGTAAGACCAAGAAAGTTAGGAAATATTATGACCTATACAATTCTCAAAAGGTCCAGTTCAAAGCTTAAAAAGTAACTTTGAAGCTGCATTGGTATTCCTTTCCTCACATTACAAATGTGTATATCTTGTCTGTGTAGATAATCTAGATAATGTATTCCCCAACCATGCAGCAGATCATATTCTTATTTTTCATCAATATCTGGCTTTAGCTCTTCACAATTGTTCCTACCTCCTTCACTCTGTGAGCCTAAGGAATAGCAGAGCCTAATGAAATCAACATGATAAATTTTCAGTTTGCCTCTTCAGGTGATTTACCCTTTTCTCAAAATCATGTTTGCTTTTTATACACACAGTATTTATTCTTTCTGAAATATACAAATATAATCAGTGATGTAATAATCTAACATATGGGTTATTATAAATTTGACCTTTTGTAACACAGTACATTAATGTGTATTAATAACATCCAAAACTTGAATCCCATACAGAATTATTCAGTAAGGTTTTTACTATACCAGAGTATACGTATTGTTCTCCTAACATTTTGCATCCACTTATTAATCAGAATATGGTACACCACACTACAGTTACTTTCCAGGTGGTATCAGCACACAGCTGTATGTAAACAGCTGAACACATTATGATAACCCAATCACAAGCTGTTGTTGAATTCTGAAGTTTATGGAGTAGTATGTGCTGGGGTTAACAAGACATATATTATATTACTTTTTTTTGTTCTTATTATTATTTTTAGGTCTTAACATGTCTGAGGGTTCAAATACTTCTAATCAACCACATGGTACAAACAGTAGTTCAGTGGCCATTGCTATCCTTGTGCCTTTCTTTGCTCTTATATTTGCTGGTTTTGGCTTTTATCTTTATAAACAAAGGTAAGTACAAATTATGTACACAGAATTCCTGTACGACTTGGTGTTTTTGTTACCTTCAATCTTTATTAGTGTAATTTTTTTCTGTAAAACCACAAAATGTTTGCAAAATATGCAGGTAGAAAGTTCTTCCTACCTCCATTAAGGTCTGGCATAATGGCTGAAAGATCAATTTATTGTACTGTGCTATACATTTATTCCTACATATTTTAAATGATATAAATTTCTTTATGATAACAAAATGGATGCTATAAATTATTGGCATATGGGGAATAATATAATTAGTAGATTTTGTATGTGCTTACAGTAGATTGCCTGTGTTAGTTTTTTTTTACATGTGACAGAATTATGAGTCACATCTTGAGAAATTTATTTTAATTCCTGCTCTGTTTACTGGCTTGCAAGTATATGCAAATATTATGTCATTGAGAGGTTTCATTATGGAACTGTTTCTGCATCTGAAATTATTTGTTCATACGCAGTTACATTTCCCAGCCACCAGTCTTCTCAGTTTCATTATTCTAAGTTCAACAGTTTTGTTCATGTTATTGAGATGAGTATTAGTTCTTTGGATTTAGTGTCAAGTAATCTTTTCCTATAGCTTTAAAGCATTAGATGACTAAAGAAAATTTAATCACTTTAATGACAAGACAATTCATTGCCTACTAGCTGTCAAAATGGTGATTTATGTCTGGTAGCCTGACAATAATAATTGTAATATACTCTGTAGGATAACATCAGTTTAAAATATGTACCATCATTTTTAAATGGTACCACTTGTCTTTGAACTGCTTCAGGGTATGAAAAAATGTTCATGTAATTTTTTTATATGTTTGCTTTTAACTATATGCTATAAACACTTGTCTATTTTTTATATTGATGATTTACAGTACAGTATATGTTTTGCATAACAATATAGATGAAACATTTTCAAGTGATTGAATTTTGGTATTTTGAGTTATTTAGTGAAAAGGAAAATGTTTCAGCTATAAATTCATTTGTGATAAAATTGTTGAGTCTCCAAAGGGAAAAAGAAAATCTCAGCCATCTGGCTGAGGAATTATTGCATCTTTACAAGATTTTGTTGTACTCCTAACTATTTAACATCTGATCATCCAAGTGGAAATATGTACCTCTTCTCAGGTCGTTAACTAAGTTTTTAAGTGAACACCATTTTAAATGAATCATAAATCCCTTAAACTTTGGTAAAGAGAGTACTAATTCTTAACACAGATATAGTAAAAAAAAATTGAGATGTGATACTTAGCTCCCATAATTGGAATTGGGAGCTAAATTCTGTTCACAATCTTAAACCATACCAAGTCAGTCAGGAAAACTGCAGTTACAAATACTCTTTCTTCTACAGGACTGCACCTAAAACACAGTATACAGGATGCTCTGTACATGAAAATAATAATGGACAAGCTGCTTTTGAAAACCCCATGTATGACACAAATGCAAAGTCTGCGGAAGGGAAAGCGGTACGATTTGACCCCAACTTGAACACCGTTTGCACAATGGTATAATGTGGTAATGATATGTCTTCAGAGTCTAGAAACTGACACACAACAAAGTGCACACACAATTCACTTATTAAAAAAAAAAAAAAAAAAAAAAATTAAAGCACACTTTTCAGGATATACTGGGTCACCTTTTCCTGACAACGATAGACAAGAATGGGTTGTGGTTATTTTGTTTTGATTTTGTTTTTAATAAACTGGATCAGAATTCTTCTTCGTGTATACCATGGAGAGTTTTAAAAACATTTGCTGCACTCCATGAGTGCTACTCACAGTTTATTTGCTTTTTTAAAAAAGGAGGTTATTCTAAAACATAAAACATATTTGCATATATTGGAGGAGCATCCACTATCAGTATTTCTGTGCTTTATAAAAACTATAATAGAGGGACTGGGTTAAAAAAAGATATAGGTAGAAAATAAGAGCTATACTTACAGGAGACAATAGATCACTGACTTCTCTTTAACAGTCATATGCTACATCTTTCTCATCAGGTTGTACTTTTTTTTCATTTATTCAGCCTGTTTAGTATTTTCTTTTTCTCAGAACAGTTAATTTTTTAAGTCCAGGATGTAGTATTCAGAAATCAGCAAGTACAACTTACTCTTTCCATGTCACAGAAGCAAAATTAAAATGTCAGGTTCTTATTTAATGAATTTCCTTCCCTGCTTCAGATCTTGCTTCCTTTTCATGTTCCAAGTCAGGCTCCTTTTCTCTGTTTCCATTAACAATACCCACAAATGTCAATGTTTCTACATTTCTTTGTTCAATCATACAACTAGACAAATTTTGCAATCAAGAATTTAGTATGAATTGAGCTTTGTCATGTGGCTATGTTCCTTATTGTTGGAGATCATCCAAAAAAGTGACCATCTTACATTTTTTTCAAATGTGAAAACATAATTTAATAGTTCAAATTAAAAAGTGCAGTTCACAGTAACATTAGTAATCAAATCCATATATTAAAAATTTAAGAGTACATTTTTCAATCCATGCTAGTTAAATCTCGACTGTGACTGTATCACATCAGTTTATTCCTTCAGCGTTTTGTCAAAATTAATCCACAAATCAGGGTGAAATCCCATTGAAGTTGATGGATTCTAACAGACTTCAGTGAACTTTGGATCAGACCTACAAGGCAAGAAGAAGTTATAATTTGGAAATGCTGTGTATTCACATCTATTTTATCTATATATTCCATACTTTATGGAAACAAATCCTTACAGCTAATGATTGAAAATGGAATATATTACCATAGGGCAATGAAAACAAATATATATGTATAAATTTTTTATATATATACATATACATAAAGCCATGATTTTATTAGGGACAAACCATTCATTTTAGGGACAATTCAGATTCCACAGCCCTCAGATATGAGTCTTAGACATTCCAGAATCACTTCTAAGGAAATGTAATTTTTAGTTTTACATTTATTTCATATCAGAATTATTCAGTGGCAACTCAGTAATTTAGTTGATATAGGTCATCGTCTTCCATTCATAGCATGACTCACAAATGCTGTGTGTTAGCCAGTGTGAATTATCTGTTTTTGTCCCTTTCAGACATTAATAATTCTGTGAAAATCTAAACTTTTTCTTACCGTAATAGAGAGTGCCTACCAAAAATCATTGTACCCAGGATTGCTGCTTGGATTTCTATAATGTTTGATGAATTTCTTATAAACCATTTTACAACATGTTGTTTTGAATATTCATACAACTCTGTCAAACTGTATTCTACTAAAAGGATGCTGTTTTATATTTTATACCATTGATTGTTATTTATTCCTGTTTATTCAAATGACTGCAATAACTATGATTCATTCATTAATGTTAAGGTTAATACATTTGAGATCATTTAAAATGTTTCTTCTGCAACTGGCTACTCCTCTTATATTAATGCATACACTTTTGTAAAGAAGTATATTTTTATGAAAAAGGATTTGTAAAAGTATGATGTAAATTTTCAGTGCAATGTAAACAAAATAAAAACGGACAATTGCTTTTTTTAACCATGTTTCTTCTTTGGAAGATGAGCTTTAAACTCATTTCAGTTGTGAAGATGAGAAAATAACCAAATTCATAATTCAAATTTGGTATTTTTGTGGGTCTTAAAATCATGTTATTTTTTCTGAATCTTCCTGTGAATTTTAGGTGAAGTAGAAAGACTTAGATTACTTTCACAAATAACCATTGAGCACAATGTGTAAAATTATCTATTTACTAAAATAAATTTTCTGTGTGACTTGAAGAAGCAGATTTACAAAACAAAAGGCCTATACTTGTCAACCCAGTGAAAAGTACAGAAACAACTTTTTTTTACTTTAAAAGAAAAAAAAAATTAAGAAAATCTGAGTGTTCCTCAAGGTTGTAGACAGCCTACTTTCCACATTAATTTTACGACCTTTCTGCAGAAATGTACAGGATGTACATATTAACAGGTAGTACCAGTTCATACAGTATTTTCTGGCCTTAAAAAAACCCCAGTGCTGTCTTTTAATGACATTGAACTGGCGGGGAGGATCTTAATTATTTTACTATAATTTTAAAACTGTATTTTAACTACACCTTTTGCTTGCAAGCATGGAAAGTGGATGACGAATCCTGATCTGAAATACTATTCACAGGATAACTGGGGGGAAAAAAGGTCTAATGTTCTTTGTGAATTTGGTGCTCTGTATAAACTGAAAAGGCCCATTCAGGCCCACGTTGAAATCACTGAAGTCTGTGTTGTTAAATACATTGGAAAGAGAAGCAAGGAGCCACTCTAGAAATGACATTGTGAGGATCATACACTAATGTTTTTTTGGGGGGGTCTAGAGCAAATCAGTTAATTCTGAAAAGCAAAAAAATCCTGGTTCACAGTGGCCAAGCTTTCATATGCAACCTAGAATCTGAAGTTAAGCTCTTAATTTTTTGGTTTATGCATTATATGTTTTAATGTATAAACGTAAATAAAACTTATGTTGAACTTCTTCAACAATTCTGTTAATGCTTAAGCTAGTATCCAGCTTGCTCTTTTCAAGAATTATACTGACTTCATTGTAATAGAGAATGAACTATTCATAATAGATTGGAGGGGTTTTTTGTTGGGTTAGGTTTGTTTGTGTGTGAACTGTCCAATTTTCTAGTAGCAGAGTGGTTAATTTTCACTGTGGCATATGAAATTTCCAGCTTCAGTTGCTTGACTGGAGTTGGTTAGCCAAGTCTGCTCACTGTTTCTTGTTTTTCTCAGGAAGATAGCTGAAATTAGACTGTTCTGTCCTCCAAACACTTTGGCTACATTATTCAAGCAAACACACTAGACAGATAAAATGTGCAGGAGTACAGAGATTGTTGTGCAACTCTGTGAGTCTTTCAAGTTTAAGGCAACTTCTTCAATACTAGGGACTGATATTTAAAACTTCATTTAAGTTTCTTTAACGAATAGCCATAATAAACTGGGTAACTCTGGAGACCCTGAGCTGTCTCCCAGATTCGTTGAGCTCTTTTAACTCTACATTATCTGCATGTCAAGAGACTACCGGTCCATCATGTCTCATTAAAGTCATACTACAATCTGGTTTGTTACTGGAATCCAGAAACCGCATGGTATCACCTAAACTCAGCAAAGTAGCAGTTCTAGTAGAACTACTCAGAACAACTAGACCACCATAAAATGGAGCTAAAAATGTCTGATTTTACTTTTGTTTGTGAAACAGAGCTGGCATTAATATGTAGACATCTTATCCTGGAGGAATACCTTGACAAAAAATACAAGAAGCTGTTCTTGTCAAGGAAATAATTTAATATCTACAAATTTTGCAGCTTCTTATAGAGAGCTAATGGAAGTAAAGTGAGTCTATAGCCAAGTCATTAAGCTATTAATCTAGGTAAAAGACAGCTTTTCTTTTCTAGGCCTTAAAAGTGTATGTTATACCTCAACCCACTAGTACAGTTGGCTGAAGTGTTATAAAGTATTCATCATTTTCTCCAATATTAGTGAAACGTGAGGAATTTAAAATCTTGGATATCACTGCATAAATAGGTCAGCAGATCTGTATCCCAGTGTGTAGATTCAGCTGTAAGTCCCTAACTACTACCTAACTACTACAATATTTGAGTAAAGCATAGATCTCTTGGGCAGGAGTATACCATTTTTTTACCTTGTATGCTTCTGCCCATGGTCTTTCTATAAAAGACGATCTGTTCCACAATGAGAAAGTCGGTACGTGTTGCAGCATGCTTCTTTATAGGATGATCAGAGTTGGAGAAAAATATGGCTTGTATAATTTTTTATATTAAAACCCCACAATCTTTGTTAATTTGTGAAGATATTTTCCAATTTCAGACTCTCAGTAGGGACTAATATAGGTACATGAGGTGTCTGTGACTACAGGAGGACCACCCAAGCAATGGTAAGCTCAGTAACCGAGTTCCAGAGTTCCTCTCAAGCATGTTGTTAGTAGTCTTACTAGCCTTACATGGTACTACAGAAAATCTACTTAGCATCTCTCAAAACTCCCAAATTTTCTCCTTTTTTTGAGTTTCTGTGATTTCATTTTGATTTGATCACCAAAAGTTCAGTCAAACAAGATGGAGAAAGACGCACTGCATTGGTTTTCTGGTAAAGCTGGAAGTTAATAAAATCTGTATTACTGGTTAGAAATTAAACATGATATTCTTTGCCTCCTTTTATATCATTCTCTATGAAATAAATAAATCTTACAGAAGAGAGTATTAATGTGAGGGAAGCGTGATATAACATTTAGGAATACCTTTGTATTTAAGATTTCTGCGCTGTATATCTATCTAAAATCTTTGTGTGATTCCAGCTGGCATTTTTTAAACAAATGTTTAAGACTTGTCATTTCTGCACTAAGTTGGTTTTATCTTTAGTTGCAGACTAACTGCCACTGTGTGACCATTTTTTTCATCATCTACTTTGTACTGCTGTCCTAAGTGACAACTAGGACAATGGAAAAATTATTCGTAATTTAATTTCCTTATGTAGTAAAATAACTACAATGAGTAATAGCTCAGGCAAATAATTTTGAGTATGATTTTGCAGTGTCAAAGATTAAGCAGGACCAATATTAAATTAACTTTGATTACATAAAAAATATTCCAGTGAAGTAGCTGTGTTCCCCTTTATTATCTTCTTGATACTGAAACTATGGCAACATAATAACCTGACTTGCCCAACCAGGAGTAAGTGTGGTAGTAGTTCTGAAAAGTAGGTCCCATCATTTTGTGAAAAATTATGAATGTTGAAGACATACATCATTCTCTAGCAATTTGTCAAGTAACCAGTGAATATCTATCAGTGCGG